CTGTTGATATAGTAAGCAGGAACTCCTAACTAGTACTCTGTACTAGTCTGATAATAAACCCACCCGCCACTCCCTGTCATTCAACTAAGCAGCACTTCTTCTGCAGCTGGTCTTGTCAACGGTGATATCATAATACAGCAGAATGCTAATGGTGTGTCTATTTGTATGTACGGAGTACGAAGATATAACTACCAATATGGGCTTGTCACCAAATCATGGTTCTAGGATCCAAATTCACACGTTTATTTCCTGACTGGTTGCTTTAACTCGAGGCATTATGTATTGGCCGTCAATGTGTATTCAACATTATAATTACTTAGTATAAAATTGGGTATATTTTTTTGTATATAAAAGTTGGCCCTTAAGTAGAGTATGAAGCGTGGTTTGACCATCGAGCTAGAGATGCGTTGCGGTTGATTATATTTCGGGCTATTTTGCAAAAAGATGCTTTACATCGTTATGTGATTATAATGCAGTTAGATAGATATCGCTTATTGAGTTGGGGTTGACGAGACTCGAAAGTGCTATAGATCCAAGTTAGCCCAGGTTAAGTCAGAATGGGAGCGGCTGCTGTTGATATACAGCTTTTGTTTTGTTTTGTTTTTCTTTTTACTTAAAAGGAAATAAAGAAAGTAAGCAAGCGCCACCAGCATTCCTCCGCGGTTTGCCGTTATCGAGCTAAAAAGTATAATATAGAGTTCTCTCTTGACCTGCTGAAAGTTGTCTCCTTACGTCTCCCTGCTTGATCTATCCGCTTTAATATCGAGCACGCTGGGTGATACTTTTCGGTAGGTTTGTAGGTAACACATTTGGGTTGGAGAGAGTTTTCTGTTTCCCTCTTCTTTTTGAATTCATTTCATTTTATTTTTCTTTACTCGATTCTGAACGTACCGTAAGTGGTAGGTGTGTGGCTGGTCGGACCAAGAAAGGGAGCATGTACTCCGCAGATGCAAGTAAACAATCCAGGGGAAACCCGATATACAACCGAGCCTCACAGCAAGCCGGAAAAAATAAATTAAGAAAGCGGGCAAAGGAAACCGACGTTTCAGCCCCGCATTTTCAGGTAAATGCTCCGTGGGTAACTCGATATCCGCTACGGAGTACAATAGAAACAAAAATTCAGGTCTCAACTGTACGTCCTGGCGTCGTCGTCATCTTCAGGCGGGACAAGATTTCGCCGAGAATTGTTTACTTCATTCAGACAAGGAGGATAGTCCGAAGTGGTTAGTTTCAACCTCGACCCTGGATGTAAAAGGGACTTCACCTGTCGATCACCGGGTCATGGACAGACAACCCTAGACCCTTAGTCCCTTATGGGTTCTCTCGGACATTTATGAGCTAGACGATCGGCCCGGGAGTTCCGCGATGAAGATACCGCATCCTAAGTGGACGGTTTGCGTATTTCCGTCGTGTGCGATTTCCATCTAGGTTAACATAGGGTGTGGTTATTGAAGTATATTCGAATCTTGAACTGTGAGGTGGAAAAATGGAAGAATAAAATGATGGCGCTACGGGAGCCACTGTCACGGACCACCGACCAGTCAGACTAAACGGCTGGGTGGGCCGTTAGAGATAGACTCCATCCACTGTGGATCGTAACCATGTTAGATTATCGTAAGACGGGATCTTCGGTTTTTGTTGACCGAAGGAGAAAGACAACACTCGGGGGCCCCCTGTATTGAGTTCTGAAGAGGGTACATCGTATCGGCGCAGATGATATATAGAGGGAGAGGAACAAGATGTGTGACAGCCGGAGGCCGACGGAGTTGTATTTGGCCGACGTTGACGATCAAGCCTTTTGGCTACGAAGCGAGGTGGGTGGATTTTGTGTCGGTAGTTGGGGATGGTTATCTTAGTCCACTCCTGCTACGTACTACTAGCCACCGTTGGTAGGCAGGCCGGCTGACTAACCCCCTAAATTATGAGGATTGAACAACATGTTCAATGTGTCTCGATGTGTTTTATGAGATTTAATCAATCAATGTCAGGGAAATCAAGATTAAATGAGGTTCCATCAAGAAGACTCGGCTTTTGTTAGAACAATTGCAGTGGTTGATTCAATCCTTCGTCATCTCAGTCAATCTACTAGGAACATGGAACTCGTTTCAAGCGTACGCAAGAGAGGCATCGAATCGCCCCTGCAGATCAGTTGTGTCTCGCCCCTTCCATTCCCACCAATCCGCGTGTCAACGCCTCCAGTGATAAGCATTTTTTTTCTCTGTTCGCACTGCTCAGGGAGGCCATCGTGGCCATTCCTATGGTTCACATTTTTCTGCCTCGTTTTTTTTTTCCCTCTTTTTTTTTCATATTAATATTATTTTCTAATTTCGTTTTCTTTTTCTTTTTCTTTTTCTTTTTTTTTTTTCTTTCCCTCTTCATCCTCTGTTCTTCCCGTCTCTTGTATCGAGTTTCTGACGCATTCTTTATCTATCCTATGGCCTCATAATCGCCATTGTCTTCCTTTTCCTTTCGAATCCCTTCATTTTTGGCTTAACATCCGGGGACTCTTTAATATCCTTTCATTCCCCCTCTCTTTGCACGACCTACGTTCGTCACCGGGTGTTTGACTTAATTTTTCATGTAACACGCCGCTTAACAGATTCTCCCTTTAATTACCACCGAGATCGCCGAATTCCTTCCCCCCCCTTCGATCCCTCGGGAATCTGCATACATATATTATTCAACTGGGTCGACAACTAATGTTATGAAATGAGACTATCCATCCGTGTTGGTACGGCCGCACTCCTGATCCTCGCTATCTTCCTGATCAAGCGCCATCTCGACACCGTTCAGGATGATGCGCGTGTGCCTTTATCGTCCTTCTGGCGCTTTGGAGGTAGTTCCGCGGGTTCCGACAGCGGCAATCAGGGTGTCCCGGGAGACAAAACAGTTATGGAATCGGATGTGATCTCCCCTCAGAATTACGAGACCACCCCGATCATCGTCCCCAACGACCGAGCGCTTGTGATGGCCAAGATGTCTTGGGAGGATACGTCATGGGTCGCTAATGATTTAAATGAGTGAGTCGTCTCGTCGCATTCGTGGAAGCGGTTTTCTGACAGGTTAGATGGCGGAATGTGATCTACACGGTTGATGATTTGAGCGCTACGCGGCATACCCCCATCAATAAGGGACGCGAAAGCCTGGCGTACCTCCAGTACATCATCGAACATTACCACGACCTCCCATCGCTCATCGTGTTCATCCACAGCCACAAAGACGGCTGGCCGGCTTCTTGGCACACCGATAACATGGAGTACAGTAACGTCGTGGCAATCCGCAACCTCCAAGCCGACTTTATTCAGCAAAGTGGCTACGCCAATCTCCGATGCCAGGAAACACCTGGCTGTCCTGAAGAGCTCAGACCCTTACGGAACCCTCCGCGCCCCGGACAAACGACCGAGGCGGTCTACGCGCAGGCCTGGAAAGAGCTGTTCAACAACACCGAAATTCCCGAAGTCATTGGTGCGCCGTGCTGCTCTCAATTCGCGGTGTCACGCGACCAGGTCTTGAAGCGTTCTTTCGAAGAATATATGCAGTATTATAATTGGGTTTTGACCAATGACTTGCCGGACGATGTCACCTCGCGGGTGATGGAGTATTCGTGGCATATCATTTTCGGAAAGGATCCGGTGTAGTAAGTATATGGAGATCTTTGCGGTGGTAACATTAGGCTAACTCATCACTTTATTTAGCTGCCCTGATTCACTGCAGTGTTATGCGGATGTCTATGGCAACCCGTACTTCTGGTAGTTTTTGTATATAAATACCCCTTTCTGGTTTCGTTGTTTGTATCTCGTCACGATATATGCCGCAATATTTGTCTGTATCTGGATGTCGACTGTATATGCTGAAAGCTTCTTGTTAAAAATTATTCACATGAAGGCGTGTGCTGCAGCTCTTCGGCTGGAATCTATACTAACACGATTGCATGCTAAGCATTTTTTGGATGGAACTAGCAGCTTGGCGCTGGATTTACGCATAAAGTTGCTACTAGTAGTTCCCAACTGATCAGCGTCCTGCTTGATATGAAATTGATATGATGATTGCGTGATTACTTGGCAGACAGCATCTATTGCTAGTGTGCGTAAACTCCTACTGCCGTGGATTTAGTAGCTTATGTGGAAGCCTAGAGTGGCGCGTGCTATTTAATAAATGTCAACACTATCGGGAAAAAGAAAAATAAAATGGCAGATGAAGCTAATCTCAACAAAGAAAAGCCAACGAATGGGGTCGCTTGAAATATCGATCGATATACTAATTCATCAAGTGGGTAACGCCCCACGCCGAGGCTTCCACGTTGTCTTTGAACTTTCAACGCAAAGAACACAAGAATGCGGCTCCTTTGTGGAAATTACATCCCATGTTCATTGCACGTCCACATATTTACCGGAAAACAATAAAGGAAAGGGATCAACAGTCTCTCATATTCGCATCATCAGTCTATCGCACGAGGTATGGGTAGCTTTTGTGCACGGAAGACACTAATTTAGGGTGTTCATGAAAGTAGTATCATAAATGTCGCCCTTGTGCTCCATAGTGGAGGGCCACTTTTTTCCGTTCTATTGTGTTCCATTGTTTCATTTTAAGTGTTAAATTGCGACTGGTGTATCTCTACGCTGGGTTGCGGGAAGTATGTCTGTTGGGATAGAAGCTTATGTGGGGAAGAAGTACTTATAACTGATGGGGATCTTTGTGTATATCTAGGATTTAAGGTATTTTGTCTGATTTGTAGGCAACTGGTTGCTAGGCAGGTTTTCATTTAGATCCTGATTAAACAATTCCATTATCATGGGTTGTTTGTGGTCGAAGAAACGTCGATTCCAAAAAAAATATGAAACACAATAACAATAATAATAGGATAAAGTAGCATATCGTGCAAAACTCAGCAGTCCCGTGAAAATCAAGTGCACAAAAGTGTATAGTTCCATCATCTCCACCGAATTACCCTCGAACAGGAAGCCGATCCGAAACTAAGAACCCAGAACGTCTGACTGGCATCACAAAGCATACCCCGAGTGAACATCCACCTGGAAGAGCTGCCTTATATCGGAGATAGCGCGCTTCACCAATTCTTTAACTTCCTGAACCACCCATCGTACTCCCTCTTTGAACTTCGACCATCCCTGTCGAATCTTTTCACAAATCCAGCGGAAACAGTCAGTGATAGCTTTGAACGCGGTATGAAAAGCCTGCTTGACACAATGTATCAATGTCCTCCCTTGTTCCTCCCCTGCTTGTCTCTTCGAGACGCTCCTCACCAACGGCCTCTCTTGTTCTTCTCCCACATCTCTCCTAGCGACGTTCCTCGTGAAAGCCTTCAGCCATTCAGTGGTTTCTCCTATATGCCTATCGATGTCCTCCTTTGCTTCTTGACTCATTCGGTCTATTTCGTTATTGATCTCTTCGTCCGATAAATAGGACATCTCCTGCTCGGCTTTCTCCTGGAAGTCTTCTGCCACAGCACGAGCATACTGGGCGGTGTGTTCTGCCTGTATGCGGAGGCGCTCCTTCGCTTCGTCGAGGGTTTGGGGGTAGTCTAAGGGGTCACAATGGTCGGAGTGGATACTATAGGCGCTGGTATTAGTATCTTCGTGGATATACCACGTCAGAGCCTCCCGTTAGGCTGGAAATGAAAGAGTTTGCATACCGATGCCGTAGCTGCATATATATGAAAGCGATGATTTGTGATTCGGTGTGATGAAAGTCGCTTGTTCGTTTACTCAAACACTTTATATGTATCGGGCAGCTTGGAAGATTATGAATATCGATAGACATTGCCTGGCTGAATACAACGGTTTTATAGAAACCTAGAGAATCATAAACGGTCATACTTCCCGTAGATATGATATAAGCTACCACTGTTCAAGTATAACTACTGGGTAACATCGCCGCATCAGAAAGCGTTTTCCGGTATGCGAAACCGTGTGGCTGCCGTACGCTACTATTTCGTTGTCCCGATCAATTCCTTCGTTTCTAAGGTCCTTGATGTTAGACTCATATCGCCATGCTAGTAGTAGCGGCGGCCTCGGTGTTCCTTCGGCTCATCTTTCGGTTGTCCGCTAGGCAGAGTCTGACATTATTATAAGGGACCCTGTCTCCCTGGTCGATAGTTTGACTATGATTCGCCTAGTTGGTTGTTTCCAGCATCTCTGTCATACAAGCAATCTGAAACTGAACAATTGTCTCAACCTTTGATCTTGTACATTTCAACCACGAATTGGACTGGCGTATATAGTGATTCCCGAACATACCTACGGTTGAGTATGCTTAGCAACCTTGGTTACAGCTGTGGGGAAAAGCTATACTTTGCACGGACATTGCTGTCGGATTCTAGTTCCTTTTGTTTACTCATTCATGGTCAGGTGAGGGCCGATAGGAAATCATTTCCGAAACTTTGAATAGTAATCAAGTATAGCTAGATGGAAGGTGTGAAGTTTTGATCGCATAGGTCTAGATTGGCCTTTGGTCGTGATGTGTCTGGATTGATGCACGTAACGTGTGCTTGCTCTTGAACACTCTTGGGACATTAGGCATCATATTGATATAATGATGAGATATTGCCCTGGTGATGGTTTGAATGTATCGTCTTGGTTCACAGTTTGGCTTATGCGAGATTGCGTTCCTCACTGGATATACAAAATCTAGGAAGCTTTCCATTGGGACCACTGCTTGCTGAGAGAGACTTATTTAGCCTACTTGAGTAATAGCGGGAAACAATGAAGAGGTTGGCATAGGCTTTACATTAGTACTTACACTGCTAATCACCAAAGGGAGGGTTCCCTCAACGTCTCCACCCATACCGCTGGACTATATTTACGCATTGGTGGTCTTCCATCAGCTAAACAACTACACGCGGGCACTACCCCAGAGTTCGTATTAGATACTCATGTCAAAATCTTAGCGAAGGTACTCTTGTTGAAGGCACCGGGGCGATCGAGAAGGAACGTTTCGCCATACATCGCACACAACCTCTAGAGCGGCTGTCTTTTCGCTGGAGACCTATTTGATCCAAGAGCTCTTCTTTCTCTATCCTAGCCCGCCTAGAGAAAAGTGCTTAGCGACCCTACTGGTAAATCAGGAGTTCTATAGCGTTATTTCTATGATTGAATTGGTAGAATTTTATTCACTTGATGCACGTACATTTTGCCATGTCCTTCCAGGCGACTAGCACTCTCGTCCATTCATGTAGTATTGAAGGTACTCTGAATGTCATCTATATCGATACCTGACTTCGATACGATAGAGCGAGCAATATGAATCGCCGTGCTATGTAGTTGTAAGCTTTGTGATCGCCTTTTCATTAAGAGAACCGATCACTCACACCCTTCTTCAAGGATAACGCTGATATGCTATTAATTTATTAGCCAGGTAAAAGGTGGTAGGCTGTCCACCTTGATATTGAGCTTTGCTTAGTTCCGTGGTATTCTGTCTCCTGACATAGCCATAGAGTAAGTGGCTGTTTGTAAGAACTTTGTCTCACCTATCAAGGTTCTTTGGGTATACATTTTCCCTGTGGAATTTTACAATTAAGCCCATATTTAACTATCAGAAACAAATGTCACGACCAGGGTGCAGAATATTATATCCGCCCCCTCCGAGAGGTTCGATTGAGCAGTAGTATAAGAGTCATCTAGGTAATCTCAAAGCATCCAAGGCAAGCGCAACTAATAGATAAGGACTAATATTGGTGGGTCTCGCTAATTCTGCGACAGCTTAAACTCCAGTTATACCGGTTTCCCCTTGTTATCCAGAGATAAGTAACTCACGATGACCGTCTCACTCGACGCTCTCGTTGATGGTCCACAAAGTGAATTCGAAATGCATCGAGCGCAAAACTATAGAAGGATGTCGTATTTGTGAACGATCTATACCTACCGCCTTGGCCCTATATCTAGTGATTGGCTTATTTCTAACATCAAACAGCCTATTGACCAATGATACATGTAGCCGGCATCCTGTATGGTAACCCTAATTCGATTTTCCTATACTACTTTTAGTACTAGTGGCCATGGATTGCTAATTGTATCCATCATTCTCCAGTGCTGGACACATACTATGTTCCAACGGAATTAGCACAAATTCATTGAAGCATTATGAACAAATTTTATGTATTACCGCAGCCAATCCTAATACTTTGCTGAATCCTTCTAAGCCAGACCTCACATGTTCCGACGGCTAACCCGAGGCCTGTGATGTCATCGACATCAATGACTACAAACCCTCAAAACAATTGGCCATGACGCATCGAACCAAACATTGACAAATATCAAATGGATACGATGATTTCTTATGACACCACGACTACGCCAATTACTGGTGCTTCTCCTAGAGTCCTTGTTCTTCCTTCGAATATCCGACAATCAGTATTGATCTTTTGCTCAATTAACTTCAGTGAACCACGGTCCTTATCGACATCGGGAATCGATGATGAGCCTTGGAATAAATTCTTGGGAATCTCCCTCATGATGTCAGGATTGCATGAGGTACCGGAGACAAAAGTGCCTGCCCTTAACAAGGACTTGTTGCGGACCATATCACATTCATGAAAACCATCTCTCAACTGTACATGTGTATGTACTGAATGTCTAATTAATGCACTTCATCATTGAGTAAACCAATTGGATAGCATGTCTTCTTCATACGTGACGGAGAATACTGCTGCCAATGAGGACTCTAACTCGCAGCCACTCCTCCGGGAGACACTTGAATATGTCTCCAAGGAGTGTCCCACGCGGTTAGGGATATCCCCAAATGAGATTCTGACGAAATCTCCCACCGTCGATGTATTTTTCGATGCCATTGCTTCTGAGAGGCTACGACGCATGCCGCCAGATGGCAGTAGGTTAGATGGTGCTCTACGCCGAGCTTCTCGCTTGGCCTTTGCGGTAGGCTCGTTGAGAGACTCCGTAGCTGGCTTTATGGACGGAGCAGACGAGGCAGCCAAGATGATCTGGGGCGCTATTGTGTTACAACTTGAGGTGAGTCCTAAATGGAGAAGTCTAACTCTGTCTGTTGCAAGAATGACTGACCATTGTAGCTGGGCATTGAGCATATCGACGTCCTGGATAGTCTATTCGGACAGTATGGCAAGGTGACACTGGGAATTTCATTGCTTCTTCAACAGGAAAGCTACTTTCAGACCTACCGAGCCCTACAGCAAGAGGTTACAGAGATCTACGCCCACGTGCTTCAACTTGTTATGCATGTCACCATGGAATACCGCGAGGCAGAGCGCTCACAGAACTGGCAATCCATGAGCGAGGCCGTGAACCGCTCATTTTTCTGCTACTTTAATCGATTCACCACTCACTGGCGCCGGATGTCGCAAGTCGCTTTGGCTACGGGGGCGCCTAAACAGCAGACCCCCTTGGACCTCGCTGCCATTTATCAATTCCTCGAGTTACAAGATCGCCCCCTGCATATGTTGCTGGAAGGCCATAATCATTCGTTGGCCGATGGCTCCTTTGCATGGTTTGATCCACATTTGACTACATTTACCATTAGCCGACGCAATATGCTGCTGGTCACTGGCAATCCGGGCTCAGGGAAAAGTGCATTGGCCCAATGGACAATGGAAAAGTTGCAGGTATCCTCCGAATTCGATATCTGGAACGTCATTCCTATCTCAATCAGATCAGATGTACCTATTACAACATTGCCGTTAAGCATCCTTAAGGGTATTCTAGCTCAGATTCTCGATCGCTGTGTCACTAGTCGAAAGACCCACGAGTCTATTCTCTCCGGCGTTATGAATGCTCTTGAGCTTGCTATGACTGGAGCACCAGACCCGCAAGTGGAGGAACAGCTATGGACCGCTATTCGCATCGCGTTACAGTCAAACATGCATTTTATGCTAGTAGTAGATGGCGTTGACCAGATCAAACACTCGGAAGTCACTGTTGGCCCGTTCTTGCAACGCCTTCAAGACGCCGTCTCCGAGCGCAATACACCGTCAAAGCTTATCGTCTTCAGTCGACCGCTCGCTGCTGCACAGATGCCTATGCGGGAGACAACCACGACTCAACAGATTTCCATGAACATCTCCTTGACACAGAATGACCTTCATGCAACTTTAGTTGATATGATGACTTCCGATGTTGCATTTGCTGGTCTTGATGCATCACAACGAGATACGTTGGCAGCGGCTATTGTTCCTCGGGCGCAGGGATGTTTTGTGTGGGCTCAGCTCACTATCGAGGCCATCCGAAGCGTATCAACTTTTAATGAAATGCAATCTGCAGTAAAGACCTCCCCACATACCTTAGGTGACTTGATTGATCGACTTATACGCGGCATTGGCCTCAACCGTGTAGGAACCCAGAGTCTCCTTGCCTGGCTCCTGGCTGCGGAGCGTCCCTTACGCATTCAGGAGATAGAGCAGCTACTGGCAGTGGATTTGAAGACCCTGAAGATTACATCTCGCCCATCGAATACTGAACGCGAGGTTTTCCAACCTCTAGCTCGATTGATCTCCGTCCGTGATGGCTTTGTTACCTTCAAGCATCACCTGATTCGCGATCACATACAGGCTCGGGCACTGATGGGTCAGGAGGTGCCCTTCTCGCTATCTGAAGCTCACTATGATCTATTGATTCGCTCGTTGGCTTGGGTTCGCAAGTCGATTACTGATGAGACTGCGGTTTCCTGGGACAAGCTTCGCGTCA